TGTATGGCTCAGACCCCACCACTTCACGATTGTATGTGTGTGGAGTGATGCTATGTGAGTCAGTCTATGTGAGTCAGTCCGTTCATCAGACTTCCGTTGCATATATGCTCATCCTACATTGGTTGATCCTTGGTTCTGCCCATACTCATTGGAGTATGTAACATACAGTCTATTCGTGGGGAGCAAGTGCAGTCTTATGCTTAGGCTGTTCAGAAAGCAAATTAATCTTCTGGGCTGTGAAAGAGCATTGAACCGCCAGTAGACCGCCCAGGCAGACTTTAGAATCGAAAATGATTCCTTCCGGAAAGTTAGGAAACTCGCCCCAGGGCAGGCTCGGGGGCGCGCAGGATTTGTTTTTTGTACCACACCTTAGGGTCGGCATTGGCGTCGCGTGGTACCCAGAAATAATTCCGCCCGCCCCCAGACCCGCCTTGGGCTGAGTCACCTAACTTTTCGGAATGAATAGTTTTCGACTCTTAAAGTTTGCCTGGGCAGTAAGAGCCTGGCAGATGTTATACGGTCCACGCTGGACGCTATTGCAAATGTCGCAGAAATCTTCTGTGTCGTGAGCAAGTTCTTTCAACAACTTGCATCAATGTCACCATTGCGGGCACGTGCCAAAGAACCATGGCAGGCAGCTTTAATCGATGTACTTCTCGTAGTGTTTTTTCAAACGTTTTCCGGACGCGATCGTTTTCGTTTTTGTTTTTGTTTCCCCGACTGTGATCCATTTTTTCTTTCGGAAGCAAAGCGGGTTTGTTGCTGACGACGTTGGATGATCAGCGTCCTGTGACTGGGAGGTAAGCAGGTCGGTTGGCTGTCTTCATTTTGCCCTGTCAGCTTACTGATTTCATACGTCTTCCGCTCTTCTGGGTGTTAATGTCGTTGTGTCGTCTTTTCTCCGTGTTTTCCTCCTTCACCAGGTACCAAATCCACTGTTTGACCTGGCAGGCATAACCTGTGGACACTTCCTTGTGCCTTTTGTGAAATTCTTCTCGGCGACCCTCATTGGGAAGGCAATAATCAAGGCTCACATTCAGGTAAGCATCCACTTACAAATTCACAATGCGTTGCTTGGATTCGAACTCAGGTCTGCATTTTAACAGTTCATGGGTGTACTAACTGAGCTAGGCCCGCCAGTGACAAATTCACAATGCTTTTAGGACCGCATTCCAGTTTTGGGGAACAAATGGAAAAAAAAAAAAAAAAAAAGAGCGGAAAGGAGGGTTTCTGCTGGAAAACTCGCTCATCTTGTGTCCCGCTCGCCCAAAATCTGGCCAAACTGACTTCCGGTGTGAACTTCCTGATGGCCTTCTTCCTCCTTTGACTTTTTTTTTGGAGCGCGTTGCATGTTTTTTGGTGGCGTGGTTGTTGTGGGAATCCTTGTATCTCCATTTTGATTTGCTATTTCCTGTCTTCTGTCATTTTGGCAATCATTTTCCTCCCCCCCGCCCTCCAAGCTTTTTTGGCCTGTCTCTGTCTTTCCCATGGTTATGTCGGTTCATGGTGTCACAGGGTGGGGTAACCATAGGGCTGGGAGGAGGTCACAACCAACTAAATAATAGCCGTCTTGATAATAAGAGAGGGCGTGAGTTACTAGTCCGTCTACTTAGGGGCTAATAGGTGATTGCTTGAGCCTGGCGTCCGAAGTTCCCGTACGACGAGGCTCGTTTGACTGCTTCCACCAGGGCTGGGTCACTAGCCCTGGTGCCTATCACCACTGTTCGGTCCAGGTTCCCCTCGATGGTAGGGTAATGGTCCTGAGTGCTGGTCACACTGAGGTAGGATAGCAGGAGTAGGGGGTGCGCTAGAAGCTTCTGGCGATCCATGGCTGACAGGGCTTCAGGCCAACCATGGCTGACAGCTTCCGGCGATCAATGTGAGCCTAGTAACTGGCCTCTACAACACCCTGGACTTTTTTCAAAAAAAAACAAGAAAAAGAAAAAAAAAGTGCGTTTGCATCGTGGCTGTGCACATTTTATCATTTCAGATTTTGCTGTCTGTGTCTCTCAAAGTGACTGTGTTTGTGGGGTTATTATCATGACTTGCACTCACTTTTTTTTTTTTTTTAATGCTCATCTGTGCTGCCAAGCCCAGGGTAAAGGTAATTCAGGAATGAAAGATGATAATCTGGATTCGAACACAGGTCTGCAGTTCAACAGTTTGTGGGTATGCCACTTGAGGTCAGCCCACCATTGATGCAACTTGCTTTCTTCTTTTTTTTTTTTTTGACCCACCCTCTGGCAGGTGTTGGCCCCCCCCCACTTTGGGGGGTGTTCTTCTTTTTTTGTCGACCCTGCCACCCACTGACGGTTGACAGTTTGGGCCCAACCAGGCAGAGAGGACTGGTTGCAACGTAGTGGAAAACTTGCGAAACAAACAATGCGGGCTCATACAAGAAGCCTCATAAAACCAAACAGGCAAAAGTAAGCGAACAAAAAAAACATAAGAACACTAGAAAACCTATAACGCAGAAACACATTCCTAGTTAAAATTAAGTGTTCAACAATTTCAACGAAATGCCAACTTTTTCATTATTGGTCCACAATGAGTGTTGTCACGCGGGGATCCCCGGGGCCCGAGCCGGGGTGGGGTTTTATCCCCGGACCCCTGCAGCGGGGACCACCGACCCACCCCC